TTATTTTTGACGTTTAAACTCAAAGTTATCTACAAGGTGGATGGATATACAAGGATATTATTTCGCTGATAATTAAAAAATACCAATTCTGTTAGGGCCTGTTTACAAGGAGGGAGGGTGGTAGCGCAAACAGCAAGAGAGTTAAACTAGCGCTCGCACATTTCTACTTATTATTTTTACGCGACGTGTTTACAAAGCATCCAGATAGGGTTGCCCTGGCAACAGGGTTACCCTAAATGTACCTGCCTTGTAATTTGAATGAGTTAACCAGGTTTTCTTGCTAGATTTTAAACATCTGAACAATATAACTTATTTTCTTTATGCGATGATAATACCTGACCTTTTTTCCGTATAACGTATTTAAAATGGAGAATTCAAGATCTCGTCCAAATCTTGGACGTTACAAGGCATGTTAAATTAGTTTAGTCTTCACATGACGAAACACATCAGTTAAGCCGGTTAACTGGTTTGACTCGTGTCTACTTCCTGGGAAATTTTGCTATTAACCAGAGTACCTTGAACCCGGCCTCTTGCTAAGGTAACCCTAGGACCAGGGTTACCCTCCCCCTTAGATACCTTTCTCAACAAGTTTTTGTATTGGAATTTTGTTACATCCACGCCCATTCTCCGCCTCTGCCTCGTCTCTGCCAGTACATTTACAGTTCCTTATTTCTTTAATTATAAATTCTAATACCCTGAGCCCTTTGATATGAAGGTGTCACTGAAAGAATACACAGCGTCAGTAAACCTTCTCTGTCCCTTAATTGTTTCCGGAAGTTTCGGTCCAGCTCCCGGTGGTCGCATCACTACTATGCGCAAAATGCGTTATTGAAAGAACGATATCTTGCTTCACTGCCTATCAAATCCTTAGCACAGATGCGAGAAATCTCAGCAGCAGTAGAAATCATGTTAGTGTTCACTTTCAGTTGCAACGAAGCGCTTTTTGTTGCCCTTCATCTGCTCTAAATGCTTCGACGCTACGCAACTTCTTCTGTGTTCTAGCTTGGTACTATCCTGTTCTGCTGTTGATAGATCTAGAATTTGACGGTGTTGCTTGATCAGCCCAACACGATAGAACCTCGCCCACGACTCTGCGTCTTTACATTGCATCAGACGCCCATCGCTCTCGCTTCAGATCACACAACATTCTCGCTACAGATCACACAAATTTCCTAGCTCAGTTCTTATGGAAGAATAAGACTGATCACAAAGATAACTCATGCATATGCACAACAAAATGGACTGCACTTTCTATTGGATGATCCAGATCAGGATCGGTGATCCCAGATCACTCGGACCATGGTAGATCAAGTGAACCGATAAATCCTTGTCGAGAGTGGATTAATCGGTTCGAATGGTCTTACATGATCCGAGTGATCTGGGATCACTAATGCTGATCCGAATCATCTCAAAAGAAAGCACCCTATTTAGCTATAAGTACAAGTTTGGTTACCAAGCAAGTATTGGCAAGAGCATCATCTGCATTAGTTTCTTTATCATGACTCGTCGTATCTGCGAAAATGTATTGTACCAACATTATTAATATATCTACCTAATTTCCGTGCATTAACATCAAATTAGATGTTTACATTACCGTAGTTAGTATCGTGCAATCAGGTTTTTTAAGTTGTACTTTGTATTAGGATATAATCTTCGGCAAATGATGTAAAGCGTTCACGATTACTGTTGCTGCATTTAAAAATATATCTACAATTAATGATTTACTTGAATGCCGGGCGATTATTTTCTTTACTCGGATCCATAGCATATCTGTATATATTTTCATTTAACACTCAACTTAATATTCTACAGTATAAGGTCTATAAGTAGTGGCGTGAGTTTAACGCATTCTGCAATATTTCTATTTTTGCAGCTTGTCTTATGATGCTCTGCAGTGACATCTTTTCTAGTTAATTTTGAAAGAAGAATTTAAAAACTTTGAAAACCTGCTTCATAATGGCAAATCTTACACAGTCAATGTGATCGTTTCGTGACTTCAGTTTTGTTGAATGCAGTAGGTATACGTGAAGCGAAATCAAATTAATACACGACGGCTTGTTGTTATTGCTTTACTAAACTCATTACAAATAAGCAGCCACACTAGAAATTTAGAGCAATGCAAAAACATGGGTGTTTCTAGTCAAATTCTTCATCATTATATGAGCTCTATTTTCGGATTCACATTTCATCACTGCAAAGTTTCGACTAAACGCGGAATTTGAATTTGACAATGACGCTTAGACTGACAGCCGAAGTTGAGACGAGATTGATACCTGAAATCTTTTCGATAAAAATCAAAGAAAAAATTTCGAATGTATCAGAAGATAGTATAAGACACACATTTACGATTTACTAAGGATAAAACAACTTTCAAACAACTTTGCATGTGTTTTGGTTCATGTTGTTAAGAGTCCACCTTCCTATCGAGAGCCGGATTTGGTAAAATGGCGTCATTCGGTAGCTTCTAGTGACGTCTCTTCAAAGTCGAATTTCTACAGCAAAGCTACCACTCTGAGTGTCCGGCAAGACATTTTTTGAAAGCTTAAAAGATAAAATTTCATGTTAGACAGGTTTCGCTTATTCTCCTGAGATGAGTATTAGACCCAAATTTTCGGGTCCTAGGTGATGGACTAATAGGGACAGAGGAATTGAGAATCCTGATACGAGGATGCCTACAGTCAGACACCGATCAGTACAACAGGACAGCGGACCGCTGAAGGAACAGTCATCTCCTCTAATGCCAACAATGCTTAAGGTCGAACCCTACCAACCATGTCCTGGGTGAGGTTGGTGATATACCAATCACTAAGAACTACGGTGGTTTCAGACTAATAGTCCCGCTCGGAAAATCGTAATTCGACTTCCGTGAAACAAACGATAAAAGAAAACCTTAAATAATATTGATCTTCAGGTATTTCACAATTTTCACCAATTGAAAAGGGTTATGTTATATCTGCAGTAGTTAAAGGTGAGAAATAACGATTTTTTACTGTGAAACTCACAAAACCGTGAACACAAGAAATATTTAAGGAATGTTATTGTGTTGCCAGAAGTTAGCCAATAAGGCGCGAGATAACTAAAACGCAAACAATAATGGTAATTAGTTTGTAGTTTTGAGGTTTGCTTGCTTTGCTTGCTTTATTGTGATTGGCCAGTACACAATCAACAATCCTGTGTGCCAATAACACACATGTACTACGGCGGCAACACCAAGTAATTTGCATCAAAACCTTTATTAGGTAGTTTTCCAGGAAGATCATTTTGACAAGCAAATTTACTTGTATCGAAACAATTTTGTATCGAGACGACCGGCCACCGTCATACCATAAGATCTTGTAATCTTGTCCGTGTGTGGTAAAACGGAACCCGAGGCTCAGCCACGGAGGTAGGTAGGTAGGTAGGTAGATAGATAGAAACATGATAAAAAGGCAGATATAGGTAGATGCAATTCATTACAATTCAAATAAGAAAACATTATAAACTATCTCCATTATAAAAAACATTAAAGAAAAAGCTGCTTTCCATGAATGCCGTGCCCTTGAGTACTTGTTTAAGGAGACATTTGAATTTCGTAAGGGACTCTGCTTGCCTCACATTACACGGGAGTTTGTTCCATAGGATGGCGCCACTATAGCTAAAGCTATTGTTGTAATAATTTGTTCGTGGTAAAGGGATGCAAATTTTATTCTCAGAGTCTCCAAGGTTATATGCCGTCTTTCGTATTGCAAACCTAGAGCATAAATATTCTGGAGCCAACCCGTGTGAAGACTTACAAACCATCGTGGCTTTTTCATTTCATGCTAGCGCGCTAGATTTTTCCATCCTACGAGTTCAAACAGGTAACCTGCGTCTTCATCGTAGTCTGAAAATGTCAAAAAACAGGCTGCTCTATTTTGTAGTTTTTGAAGTTTGTTCCTTAAGATTATCCCACAGTTTCCGGCACAAACAGTATTGTAATAATTAAAGTGAGGGTGAATAAGAGCTTGGTAAATTAGTTGTAAGGTCGCTTGGGGGACAAGGCGCCTTACTCGCTTTATGGGCCCCGATGCCAGAAGATACTTTCTTTATTCTCTTCTCCATATGGCTACCCCAATCGCGATTATCATCGATGGTCACTCCAAGAGATTTAGAAGTAGCGACTTGGGTAACTCGAAAATCATTAATTGCAATGGTTGGGGAAACTGTCACAGTACTTAGCCTCTACCTAGATCCAATTAACATGAACTCGGTTTCCATGAACTCGCAAGGTGCGCTTGATGCGACGAAACTTGCTCAAAATACATTCTAGCAAGGCACTTCTACTGAGAACTTCGACTGAGCATTTATCTCGGAGTTAAGATTTCAATCCATCTGTGAATTTTATCGTCTTTGCCACAGTTGAGCCTTCATTTCTTGAATGCGGTTCACCAACGAACGATTTGAAGTTGCACATTTTCCAAGGACTAGATCCAGGCCCTCCTCGCTTTTCTGAGCAAAAGCTGTTTCCGCCGCATCCTCGTATTTCCTGGGACAAAAGTTAAAGTGTCGTTTATAAGTAGGTGGAATATGATTAGCTCGTTTCTCGAAAGTCCCGGTAACTTTCGGGCCCGAAATCAAATATTTAAATCAAAATCACAGGAATAAAAACACGAGTCCTAGCCAACAAACCAGTCAATTTTTTTTTTACTGATAGAAAGCTACACGTCACATCAGTATGGAATATCTGCAAACATTCTTCAGACCAGTTCGCGAGGAAACCAGTGGTGGTGTCACAAAATGTCAGCTATTTTCTTAGGGTAGCATCAATTCAGTGGCAGTTCAGAACTCGAGTTATTGTTCCCAATCACTTACGAATTTGTATACACCCAGGCTTATAAACAGAATTTTGTGGTCAGTGCGCGCTTCTTAGTTCTGGGGGGGAAGGATGATCGGCATAGTCGCAACACAAGTGACCACTACTTAAGGTAAGTTTGTTTAGCCAGCACTTTGACCACAGTAAGAACTTCAATGAACTGATAAACTCACCCGAGTTTCACATAAAACGTCACTTTCTTTTCGAGAAGAACTCTGGAGACATATTTCTCCGCTTCTATTCTGTTGTTGAATTCCAAGCATGCTTCAAAAAATGGCTGTAAGAAAGCAATGTACATAAAATTGACAACGTCTTCACACTGGAGTGTTTATTCACCATGTTTCACAAAGTTATGGAAACTCATGAACGTAGTCTTTAATAATAAAAAAAGAAATAAATGCTTTTTGATAAATACCGATGTCTTTCCAAGACGACCATCATTTTTATTCCGGCAGACAGTCTGTACATTCACTCTTGAACATTTAATATCTTACACAGTGGGGTCAGGGTTTTTTTGTTTTGTTTTTCATTTTACCTACTGCCAGGTTCCGGGGGATGTTCCGGGGGGTATTCTGGAGTGTCCAAAGGTGCCCCCTTCTTCCCCACAATGGCAACTCCTCTAGAAAAGTCACTTTTCTCTAAAGGGAGCCGTTGTAGAAAGGTTTGACTCTGGCACAAAGCCGTTTCCGGTTTCGGGAAAACCTAACTTGCGATCCGGCGGTCCTTCTTCCCAAAAGAATGTAACGCCTGATGTCAGGTTACGGAAAACCTTGTCAATGAACTTACCTCGTATCCAATTAGAGATTTACGAGCTTTGGAAAACTTGTCGAGTTCCAGCCAGTTGTGACTTTCAACCAAGGATCTTACTTTCAGCCAATAAAACCTGAAGACAACACAATGCATGACTTGCAGCAAATGAGCTGAACTATGAGGCAGGAGTTTGAAGGGGTAGGAAAAGAAGGAATGACTGAGGTGCGCGTCAACGCGATGGCCACGCGAGGAGGAAGGGAAGGAATCCCTGTCTGCCGTTTTTCCTCGCGCATCCTTATTCCCTCCCCCCTTTCAATACTTGTTGAAATGCCTGCTACACAGGCTACAATTCAGGGATGTCGACCAGTAAACTTTAGCTCTACGTGGTGCAACTAAAGGCTATTTCGAAAACGGGTCGTGTGAGAAAGATAACGCGATGAACGCGTGAGTAAGAAAGGACGGGAACTCTTTCTTCCCTTCCTCCTCGCGCTCCCTTAACATACTGACGCGCCCTTATCCCCCCCTTTACTCCCTTTCAAATGCTTGACACAGGCTACAAATCAGGGGGGTGAACAAACAAAACTTAACACCACATGGTGCAACTAAAGGCTATTTCAATAACGGGCTGAGAACGCGATGGACGCGTGAGGATATGAAAGGACGGGAACCCTTTCTTTCCTCCTCCCTCACGCGCCCTAATTCCCACATTTCTCTTCCCCTTCAAATGCACAGGCTACAAATCAGCGGTGTGAAGAAGCAAGCCTTAGCTTAACGTGGTGCACCTAGAGGCTGTTTCAAAAAAGGGTCCTTGGATGTCAAAGGTCTCGTTGTTTACGCGGTCTCTGATTAAAAAAAAAAATGTTACAAACCTTTTGTCCGGAACCTTGAATTCCTTTTTCAGTTGCTCAGCGACTTTGAGGTCTCCTTGAAGTATGCACTGAAAAGTATAAAGTAATCCTTAGAAACTAACCCCAGGACAGTATGATAGTGTATGGGAATTAATTAACATTGAAGCGGTTTACTGTGCTTTACAAGGTGGTTTTCACTACTTTAAGTCTGGATAAAATCCTTAAGAACAACAATTCGAACGAAAGCTACTGAACAGAGATTTCCTGAATATACTGTTGATTCCAAGTTCTAAGATTTGATTCTGTAGATGCAATCTTTTAGTATGGCCATTCCAATGAAAGCTTGTACTTGGCAGAGATTTCCAGCGGTACTGTTTATTAAGCATACTGATGACATCTTAATTTTGATCATTCAAACAAGAGCTACGGTTCAGACCAATCAATTGAGATTTTTGAGTAACTGACTACCTACTCCTCCCTTAAGTCACAATTTGTCCCTAAATTAGAAGTAGGGGTTAATGTTGACTTAGGGGAGGGGTAGGTGGTCAGTTAACTGGCCTCAATCCACAGTAAAGGCTAACACAGCTGGGTGTGTTAATGATCGTACCTGGTAGATAGTATCACTCAAGGACAGATCCATAAATGTCTTTCTGTACTTCTCTTCTAGTTTGACTTGATATTCCATGAGTTTCATTTGTTCTTCTGTTGCCTGGAAAATTGAATCGCACATGCATACAATGCATAACTGACAAGAAATGTTTTGTTATAATATTTATAATATAGTTCAGATCAGTATAGAGTGTTTTCACTCACGTGGTCAGCATCTATGCAAATTTGTTGGAACAAAAGATAGCGTTTGCATATAAAGAAAAGAGTTCAACTCCCAGAGGATTGGTTTGGGACACCAATATGGCCGCCATGACTTCATGTGAAAACACTCTTTTAACGTGCACTCTGATTGGATGACAAAGCGTGTTTATCAGGGTATAAAACACGGAGCTTAAGCTTTCACTCCATCTGCCAACAGTTTGTTTTGAAAATTAGAAAGTAATGCGTGGAGAATTTAACGGATTCTTTATCATAAAACCAATAAAGAAACCTTTACTGCGCTTTGTTGTGTTACAAAGCACTTAAGAAGTAGGGATAAACACTCTCGACTAAGTCTTGTGCGTCCCCCTACACTCGGCCTTTCGTGCCCCAGCCCGGCGCTTTCTTCGTGATTTATATCAGTTCAGAGTACAGTCAAGGTATTTGTTAATCAAACACAGCAAGAGGAGTGGAGAGTTTCTGGGTGCTTTTGGTTCCAATATCGCAAGTTTATCCCGTATCCTAGATTACTAGACAAGACATAACGTCCGTCTTCTCTTTATCCACATAGTAAGGAATGAGTGGCTCTAGCGTCGAAGGAGTTTGAAGTATTTTAAATCAAAGCAACAAAGTGAAGAGCACACACCTTGAGTAGAACTGAAATCCTCCTTGCTGGTAAGACATCTGTGCCTTGGACAATGTGTTCATCTTGGATTCTATTGTCTAAATAATAAAAATAGAAGAAAATCAGATTTTATGTCAAGTGTAGTGACAAGAGATATCAAAACAATGATTCTATTCTATGGCCGGCAACATTTCATAGACAACGAATTAATTCTTATTTCTCAAGGAATAAAAAGGTGAGCGCCAATTTTTTTTCCAAGGATGTGATCCTTTTGGTTTAGGACTAAAAGTAACCGCTCCGCCAGACAAGGTTAGTAAAAGCTCTGCGGAGCAGACTGGGAGAGAGACCGGAAGGCGTTACGCAACTAAAAAATTAACCCTTCGCCTGACGGCCTTTCCTGCAGAGCTGCGATTTTCAGGCGCGCGCGCTTTGTTCGCTGTACGATCCCTGTGAAAAATAACAGCATCCTTGTACTTTAATGTGTCCTTTGGTCACGTGGTCGCTGCATGTATTGAGGGCCACTATTTACAACGAAGAAATGGACGGCAACAATTAGCGCATGTGTAGTAGATATCACTGATTATGATTAGAAGGAACTTTGGTAAAGGTTTCGAGTTTAAACACGAGAAATGGGCGAGTTAAATTACAAATAAGAGTTGCTACACGTATTCTTGGCTCCTCTTGACGCTCAAAATAAACAAGATTGCTGCCGACCATTCGTTCACAGGGGTTTATCCCATTTTCTAACCGGAAAACGTCCCGGCAATAAGGTTGAGGGAAGCTTTGTAGCCACCTACAGTCATGGAAACAAAAATAATCTCTGACGCCATGGAGAAACGGAGTGAAGCGTACGCACCCCTTCGCTCAGAACTGAAACTACATATTAAAGAAATAAAATAATAAAACAACTTTCGACGAGATACCCTCCTAAGCATGATAGCATTCAAGCTACTTATGATACCTTCTCGTTGTAGCTGTCCTGCACAAAGGCATTACCACTGTTCATAAACTGGTCATCCTGGTAGAACAGGTCCACAAGTGTACGGCGATCCTGATCCTTGCAGTACTGCGGTCAAATCACAGTCATGTCAAAGTGAATATATAGGTTACATAATAGCCTGCGTGGCAGTTTGCGTAACAGGTGCAAAAACGAGAGAAGAGGGGAAGGGGAGTGAAGGGAAAAGAAGAAGAAATGAAAAAAGGTGTCCTTTTTTCCCCTTCCCTTTACCCCTCCCCTTTTCACTTTTTTTCAATACCTCTTAAGACGCCTGCCACACAGTCTAATGATTTATAATAACCGAGTGATTTACGCGCCCCGATTGGTCGAGAACTTTTGCTTATGACAGTACAGAGAAGAGAAACAGAACTGAAGGTTCTTCTCTTCTCTGTTGCTTGAGCGCGATTCTCTGGGACATTGTAAAAAACAAATAGAAACGTAGCTATTTTTCACTGGCGCGACTCCGACATTTCAAAGAAATGAGATTAAAAATGCTCCAAACTTTACCGTAAAACCTCTCACCCCTCCACTTAAGTTTTAAACATTTTAACATCATTTTTATGACGTTAAAGAATAAACAGATAAAGGAAAAAATGTCTCCTGGCAAATAATGGCGCATTTTCTCTTGGTTGAAGCCTTGAACAAATACGCACTTATTTACACAACGTTTTTTCATAGACTCACCTTGATGTAGAGGCTGAGTGCCACAGGATGGTAACGTATGGCCATCAAGAACTCACCAAGAGTTAGATTATCCTTCAAATGCATAACAACCATATACACTAGAAAGAAAAAAAAAAGACAACACAAATGAAATGTCATCTAGATGCAGGGGAAAATCAAGTAGGCGGGTTTTGGATGACGGCGGTTCGGATCCATCAATTTTGATCACCTGACCAGAGAAAGCTGTTACCATTGGAGGAGAGCATGTAAGGATCAAGATGGTTGAAATATACTTGAAATTGTGTCAACCGAACGGCGAGGGAAGATCCAAATAATGAGCAACAAAACAATCCCAAAAATGTTTTAAGGTTTGAACCTCTGTCTCAGCTTGTAACGCCGCTGGTGTAACGCCAACTTTTAAGCTGAGAAAAAGTTTATTCTAAATTTTTGGAACCTTTGGTACAATTTCAACATGACGATAGATCTTTCTATAAGTCGGCTCTAGCGACTACGACGAAACAAAAACGGGCTTCAAAAATTGTTCCCATCCACTATACTTAATGTTAGCTGTAGTTCTCCGCAGTGGTACCCACTTATAACTCACCCAGATCCGTGTCTCCACTCATAATGGCCTTCTCGAGCGCTAGGTCATCTTTATTCATGCGCATGAGCAGTGGAACTTGGTCAGCGGCTTTTGCTTCATAGTCCAACAGCTACAGGTAAAAAATCAGACCACGAAGATGTGAGTATCTTGAAAGATACATTATGCATCATGGCATAGCCTGTACACAGACGTTGTTTTATTTTTCTTTTCGTTCTTTTCAAATACAATCCCCTGCGGTTTATATTTTATCACCCGCGCTCGACGGACTTTGAAGAGAAAACAGAGGGTCTGTGAACAGGCTATTATGGCATGGCTATGATAGGCTCGTTTGCCGATCGTCAAACGACGAACTTACTATGGTGAGATTGCTCCAGCGAGACGTCAAGGCTGGCTTTAAGCCAGGCTGTAAGCAGGTGTCCTCGTGGAGGCACAAGCGGCGAAGCCACGAGAAAGGCCGTAGGCAAAACCTGGACCACAGAACCGGATCAGATCATTCCTAGAGGCACTATCCCTTACCTTTCGTTATTCAGTGAGTTACAGGGGTTGATCTGACCCGGTCCGTTCCAGGTTTTGTTGACGTCCTATGAGACGAGCATGTTGGTAACCCCTGGAGAGAAGAATGGTGAAAGTTAAGAGGTTATATTGATCAATGGCCCACGTTCGATGTATTAAAATTCTAACATGACTCCGAGGCTTTAGGGGCAAAATTGCAGATTTTTCACGACTCCATTGTCTCGCAATTCCCAGAAGAGAATTAAGCACAAAAAAATCCAAACCCAATAAGAAAAAAAAATGACAAGAAAGCCTCGGAGCCATATAGTAGCAACATTTCGAGTGCTATCTCTCCTTCGCTCTGACGAACGGCTAGAGCATAAAACTTGTTTGTATTTAATTTATCAACTCATTTGTTAAATCTCTCCATATTCCATTCCCCCATTGGTCTTCTTTGCAGCCGTACGTTTTGTTTCTCGACATGAGTCCTTTAACAATTGAGTAATATTTCACCATAGTGGTGTTGCTGATAATAAAGCGGACCGCTGAACTAATTACAAAGCGCGGTCCTCATACTCCGAATACTGAAAAAAATTCTTGATTACCGACAGTAAAAGCAATCTTGCAGGTAAAAAAATCCCATTCTATACCAATCCACGTTATTTTAAGCCTCAGTGCATTTAGCAAGAAAATACTAACGGAGGACACCGCTTTATGCCTCAAATTGTCCTTGGAACGTCTATAATAAAGCTGTTCACATGTGAATGCTCTCAACTAACCTTGATGGCCAGGTGAGTTCGTCCACAGTCCACTGCCTTTGAAGCTATTTCTGAGTAAGATATCCCTGGAGTCTCTCCGAGCTTGGAGTTGATGGCACGAGTAATCTCTTCGTCATCAACATTGGCTTGCTGAACCTGTTAAACAAGAAAAGCAACTTTTGAAGAAGTGAAGGATCGAAAGAGATGTCAATATATTCGACACAAGAAAAACTATTTACGAACACTATTGTATTCTAAAAGGGCGGAGAAGTTAATTTCAATGTGATCATCCCAGCCATGTGAAAGTCCAACTGTTTATTTACTGAGGAAATAGAACACAACAGGATTAAAAACCGCAACTGGCAGGAGGCAACCAGTTGGCTATTTACAAGCATGACTGGGTATCTGAACTTGGAAATACCGGACCGCGAGTAAATTCAGCAAGTGGCTAGAGTGGGACTCCAACCCGGGACCAGCGGATTGCGAAAACAACGCGATGGGCGCCTGGCCACGGTGTGTTCACCGCGTACAATCCAGTCTACTTGATCTAGATCTTTTTATAAGCTTGAAAGAGAAGAGAAATGTGCCAAATTCAGCTCATGAAATACTAACCACGGGGCACCCAACTCCAGTTATGTCTACTGCCACAACCATAATTTACCATTACCAATTTTATCAAATTACCAGCAATAAGCTGATTGCAGGAAGACCCCTGCTTTCATATAGGTAACAGCCAACCGGTATCCGCTGGTTACACTCACTTTATAACAAGCCCAGTGTCCAAGGATGCGACTGGCACCCTCCCCCTTAGGAATCTTCAGGTAATCACAGATTCTTATGGCCAGACAGTAGTGACGCCTCAAAACAAGCCTACAGGAGCAGAAAATAAACGGTAATAAAATAAACTTAAGGCAAATAATTCCCGCTCCAGATCTGATGGCGGGAAAATCAATTTAGTAAACATGGGTTAGACACGGAAAGTAGGCAAGTAAAAAAACAACAACTTTGCTTCAACTTGTTTTATATTCAGTAGGAATGCAAATAATCTTGATATTTAGAAAGGATTTATGTCCAACCACGTCACCATTTTAGTCGGGCAAAAGAGAAAGATTATCGGACATACATCATATTCATTTTGTTATTTTTTTCTTAAAAGTACTATTTCGTACTATGTACTATAGCAGGTCTGGTGTATAATCAATAAAAATTTCGACTCTGCACACTATAGAGCCCCCAGCAGCTCAGTGGGTAGAACGTCCGATCTCGAACTCGGAAGGTCGTAAGTTTGATTCTTACCTGAGGCTCGGAACTTATTGAACGTTTCACATTGCAATAAACACTTAAACACTTAATGACTGGTCTCGAGGGAAACAGTTAAATTTGTTTTCCAAGAATCTCAATGTTTCCTGAGGCTACATAGTTGGAAATTCATTAAACCTCGCTGTAACGGTAGTCGTCGGTCAACATTCGTCGGTAACAATACACTGTTCCCCTATGACGTCATAGATTTGCAATGTTGCCCGCTCAGAGATTTTGGCGGGAAACAGTTTCATTGTTAGATGTCATGTGACCTCGAAGAAACCAATGAGAGCGCGCACTGTTATGAAAAAGTTTCCAGCTACGTAGCAATACACCTTGTTTACCGTCCCCCTCCCCCTCAAAAAAATGCATAAGCATTGCACGTTTTACCTTTTTTAAAAAGACAACAAACAGCAGCGTGACAAAAACAAAACTCACCTGTCAATAAGGGTTTTCATTGTTAGTTTTTCCAGTCTAAGACGATCGTCAAGGCATCAAAATTGGATAATTTTTGAAAAATAATCAAAGAGTACTCTCAGAGGACAAAAAAGCAAAATGGAGCCCACTTTAAGAACTTGATAAGAGCCACAAAATTGAAAACTGTGTTAACGTACTTTTAACATATCCGTTTTAAAAAAGAGAAAAAGCAACATATCTCGTTCGTTTCCTGCAAAAAAAATGTAATTTAAACCCCGCAGCTTTGCTCCGTTACATAAATTGCACCGAAATCATCGTTCTCTCGTGGGGACAGAAACACTCTCCGGAATGGTTTCCGTGCCGACGCAAGAGCTATCTGGCATAGTGTTAGCCTGCGTAGAAAAGGTTTCCGCGCAAGTTCGTCGAAAAAGTTGGGATCAGAGCAATGATAACTTAGTTGAAGATGATGTGAACTGCGGAAATACAAGTTTAAATGAAGATATGATCGTCCCAGCGGAAATTGCAATTTAAGCAATTGCAAATTAACCCGAAAAATAAAAAATTTGTTCGTGTTGCTACGGAGGCTAGCATAGTGTAGACTTGCTGCAACACACGCTGCAATTGGGCAAAATGTAACAACTGAAAATTTGGTTCACTCTTGAATTAAGATAAAGGATACTGTCCATATGTAAGTGGAATTCCAACCATGTAGTCCCGCACGGCGTTTAACACTCTAAGATTCTGGCACATCGAAACAAACGCGTGTGGCGGCATATCAGTTAGAAAACTCTTACCAAAGGAAGCAGCCTAGCAAAGACAAGAAAAGATTACAGCGGACATCAGTAAAAAAAAACGGTTATTATATAGGTGGAATTTTCCCCAACATCGACCGCCGGAGCGCTTTTATTAGTTACTACGAGGACACACGACGTGTTACACGAGAACTATTTCCCGCCTAAAATCTCTGACCAAGCGACGTTGCAAACTTCGCTTGGTAGATGGTAACAGAGCAATGTTGACCGCTCGCTAAGATTTGCTATACTTTCAATTTATCCTGTATAACTGAAAAATCACTGAATGACGCGTTCGTCGAAAGCATTAATGAAGTCCTTTATGTCTCTTACTACACTCCTCAAATAGAAACATAATGGACGAACTATTTGCGCTCTTTCGCTTTCAATTCAAATTACCAAGATATACTGAGTACAGATTTTCTTTTCACGGCATCACGTTCAATGATTTACGCCCAAGCGAATTTGAAGGAAACTTCAGCAGATTAACGCAGGCTAAGTAGGAGGTGGTGATTTTGACACGGAAGACAGCTAATGTATTTTTTCAAACAATGCTAAATATATCTGGCAGTCTACAGAGTACCAATCACTGTGTAAGAAACCTTAAACTTGTCAACAACTCCCCCACCCCCTGGGGGCGGGTTGCTGTGAGAACCGAAACGTAGCAACTGAACATAAGGATCATGTGGTTACCATGACTACCTCCGAAGCTATACTCACCCTCAGCAGTCCTCTTTGTATTGCAGGCTCATGTTCCCCAGCAGCGGCGTGGATACATTGCTGGACAGCCTCAGGAAGACGTTCTTTGATCATCCGAATGTACTCCTCTGCTCGTGCGCTCTTTTTCTGTTTACAGGAATATACACGAAAGAATCATAACGACAGCTTAATTTTTAGGGATTTAGTTTTTGGTGCAGTTTAGAATCCTTTAGTTGAAACTTTAATGTTGTTCGTCAGGTATTCTTTTTATTATCATGCTATGTTTTTTTTTTCATTCATTATTGTTCTTTCTTATGAATTCTGTAAAGCGCTATTGAGCTTTTGGACTGAAATAGCGCTATATAAATAAAGTTGATTATTTTTTATTATATGGAGAAAAGTTGGCTCAGCTAGGATGGTGACCTTACCATGGAAAACAGGTCACCCAACAACAGGCTGCCCAGGGTGGCTCGCAGTGGAGGGTTCAGACCTTCAGATAAGGGGGAGCCCTGTCATTCAGACCCCTGAGATAAGGGGGTGCAGTCCCACCCCAGGATCCTCACCCTTCCCCTGGATCCGCCACTGGCTTGGGTAGGCGGCTGAGCCTTTTATCTGGGACAACTTTTTCCCAGAGAGAATGAAGCATTGCTTACCTCAAATTCCTTTGATGCATCAAACAGCATCGCACCTGGTTCCATTGAACCGATTTTAAACACTTGTTCCACAGCAGCTAAAAGATTAATAGAAATAGTTGCTCTAGTATCGGACATAATTATTCACATTCGTGATAAGAGGTGGTTCTGGTTGAACGGTAACCGTTCAAGTCGCCCGAAACCAGAGTAATGTCGCCCGAAATCCTAAGTGATGTCGCCTAAAATTTTATCGAGTGTATAAACTTGAACAAAAGTAACATCTGAAGTCTGTCGCAAGGAATTTAGTCGAAAAATGTTGACTCAACTGTGTCCGGTAACCTATGCAAATGTGAAGTTAAACCAAGACGCAAATTTCGCTATTTATTTCGAGCAACATGACTCAAGATATCGGGCGACATGACTCTGATTTCGGGCGACTTGACCGTAAACCGATTGAACAAATCGACTGGAATAAAGTTTAGGGCTTTTTGCTTGTTCGTGACAACAGGGCACCCATTTTCTTTGGAGGGGGGAATACTGAATGTAGAGTCAGTTCCATCTGCTTCCGGGTAGTAAGTTGAAAAATCGTACATGAGCACAGGAAGACCACACTGAGCTAAAGGTTCAAGTACCTACAGGTAACGACACGTTTTAATAGAAGGTAATTTGGAAAAGCATCAAATGTCTGTGGAGAAGAAATAAATCTCAAGGACATCCCGGCCACCAACAAGGATTGTTATTTTTGGCTACTTGGATAGCCTTATGAATCGAGAACAAGACAGAATATCTGCGAGTATTTTGAAACCTTTCACTTGTAGTCTGCGAATACACACGTTTCACCTTGCTCCTTGTCGCTAGGGAGGTTTCGCCAGGAGGAGAAACCGCCCGCAATCAACGTAATCATATTTACCAACCTGGAACTCGCTGAAGCAGTTCATGAGTCTCATTACCAATGATTCTTACGCCATCTAACTCTTGAACTAAATGAACAGCACTGTCCATCTGATATGTGAAATATGTTAAGAAAGTGTGCTATCCGTAGCATATGCATATTTATTAAAACTGAACCATTGAATAATACAGTTAAAGAGCTCTGATTGGCTTAGCCAACATGGTATATGAGCCACATACCAAAAATTGAAAATCGGTTGTTCTTACAAATAAAGTCGGGAAGAATTCACGATATTTTGTGGGCGTTTTTAATAAACAATTATTCCACTCATATCCAACGCGCTCTCGCGCAAAAATTGTTAAATATATGGCAATAGCGTGCTCAATGAAAAAAAACTACTCGTATCTACCGTACAGTCGTTGCTTCAATGCAACGCGCGCGAGTATTTAATGCATGAGCCTGACCGTTTAATGGCCCGATCTCGAGAGTAAATGTACCTTTATTCACCTTGATTGTACGCAAAGGCAAAATTTCTCCATTACGGAAACGTAATGGAAACAAGAAAGAACGGAAATGTGATAAAAGAAATGTGGCGGAAACATGATCGTTCGTTTCCGACTCGGAAACATAACGGAAACGCGTCCCGTCCATGGAAAACTAGATCACCATGTTTCCGCATGGCGGAAACGAGACGGATTTAAGCAACTTCACGTTTCAGTCGAGTTTACAAAATACGGAAACACGTTATTTCGTCCTGTGACAGTAGTAACAATTGTCAGTTCAAATCAAGGGTGTTTTAAGTAACACGGTCAAGATACAATTGCAGCATGACAGCACAATTACCAACTTGACCAAGCCAACATTTACAACAACAAGAAGAACAATTTTTAATCCTAGCATGTTCTAGCAGTTAGATAGCTTGCCCCGCAAATAGTTGGAAAGCCAGTCGGATATAAAGAATGATCTTGTTAATCAAAGGATATCTAATAGTGTCCATTGTCGGTCCAACAACATCCAAATAATCGTCCCAGTAACATATGACAGCACCCATTGCACACCTGTAATGTAAGTTGAAATAAGTAAAGATCGGAACACACAAGGAGACAAGTTGCAGCAACACTTGTCGGCGACAGAGTACTCCCTGTGTACATGTCAGGCGATTAGTTGCAGCAACACGTGTCGGCGACAGGTCGCTTGATGGGTGGCGGAAGAAAGAAAAACACCGATGGCTCTTACTTTGAATTCAAAAGAATGGCCCGACCAACCGGGCGAGAATTCGCCATAAAAGACGAGAGCCTTCATTCTAGAAACAACAATTGCTCCCTCCTTACCAGGTTAGTTGCTTGGGTCTTGATGGACAAGAAGTGTTGAACTCACAGTAGACTTTCTAAAGAA